GAGTGATTACAAGCCCTTGCTCAATCCCTGGCTCTGCAATTTGAGATAGTACCTGAAAGAATCTACAATACTGAGGTGGCACAGTGGCTCAGTGGTTAGCACGGCTACATCACAAGAGACCTGGGTTCAATTCCACCCTCAGGTGACTCTCTGTGTAGAATATACATGTTCTCCCTGGGTTTCCTCCAGGCGCTCCAGTTTCCTCCTGCAGTCCAAAGATGTGCAGGTTAGGAGGATTGGCCATGCTAAATTGCCCCCATAGTGTCCTCAGCAGTGCAGGCCATGTGGGTTAGCCAAAGGAAATGCAGGGTTTTAGGGATAGGTTATGTGGGTGGTATGCTCTTTGGAGGATCAGTATGGCCTGCTTCCACACTGTAGGGATTCTATATTAGTCAACCTCTGTCACTTCTAGGCCCTAATTGTTTCATAGATCCTCAAACTCACAAGTAGCTAGCTGATTTTTACTCATTAATGGATATGCGTCACTTTTGATATATAAATTATTTGACAACCTTTGTTGAATAATCATTTGCAACTAATTGCTGGATATTAATTACATTCTACGCATAAATATCTAATCCACCTTAATCCCTTGAATAAATTCTAGACTATGACTAACTGTATGGTATCTGTTATGTTCTGCTAATAAAGATTTTTCTTGTTTTAAATTGCCCATTTGTAATGTGGCATAAATTTGTGTATAATCCATCATTTTGGGATGTTTCTGATTCCAAATCACCCTTTTCCTCAATACCACCTCATTCAAATAGCAACTTGCCTTTGTGCAGCACCTTTAACACAAAATAACATTCGAAGACAGAAAATGACGTGAACAAACACGCATTGTTGAAGAAACCAAATTTAAATTGTACAGTAAAACCGAGGCCCCATTCTGGTCTCTCAGGTAGGTCTCACGAAACCGTTCAAAGGAGACCAGGGCACATCTCCCCAGCGATCCTGGACAATATTATCCCTCAACAAATATTACTAAAACAGATTATTGAATAATTTAATTTCATATTTTATAGTAATTAAGCTATAGGGAGAGGCTGAATGGACTAGGGCTGTTTTCCCCAGAGCATCGGAGGCTGAGGGGTGACCTTGTAGAAGTTTACAAAAGGCATGGATAGGGTGACCAGCCAAAGTCTTTTCCCCACGGCAGGGGAGTCCAAAGCTAGAGGGCATAGGTTTAAGGTGAGAGGAGGAAAGATTTATAAAGAACCTGAGGGACAACATTTCCATGCAGAACGAATATGGAAGGAAACTGAAAATCAAGGTGAAGAGCCTCCTTTTCAAGAAACAGAATCAGAAAGTGCTGGAGAAACTCAGCGAGTCTGGCAGCATCTGTGGAGAGAGAAGCAGAGTTAATGGTATGATCCTTCTTCTGAACTATTTAAAGTAGCTCCCTTTTAAAGCTCCCTGAGAATGAAGCACAATTAGTAAAGCGCTTAACTACTGCAGAGAAAAGACCATGTTTTGTCAAAGCTTTTCATCTTGCCCTCTTCAGGACAATTCGCAAGAAATATGAGAGTAAAGGGAAAAGAAATATATATAATTTGATGTGAGTGCTGATGACTGCATTCCCCATAGCAACACCTTGACCAATCAGCACTCTTGACTCAAAGTGTAAATATTATTTTTCCTCACGTTGGTAATTCTTGTGGAAGATGAAAACCTTTCTCAAAATGTGTCTTTTTTCAACATTACTCAATTTCTGCACAACTAAACCACTATAAATAACTTAATCTCAACACCAAAGGAAATTTATAAATTTAAATAGCAGGATTATTTTGATTATCTGCTTTTCAAGTTTTCATCTGGGAGCTCTATGTTGTTGATGCTGCACTAGCATCGCATACACAGGAACACCTTCAGCAGCGAAAGGACAGACTCTTTCATGCTGGCAAAGAGTTTAGTTTGACCATCAGCATCAGGAAGACAAATATCATGGCTCAGTTTGTTGCCATGGGGTCCTGAGCCAAATCAGGTGCTGCTTACCCACCATGGTGGAAGTCAGTATCTTACAAAAGGGAAGGCTGCTTTTGTGTATCCCACCATCATTCCAGTCCCAACTGGATCAGGGAAAACATCTTTAGTAATATTTTTCTTTATTCATTTGTGGGATGAGAGTGTCCCTACCCAGGCAGCATTTAATGCCCATCCTAATTGCCCAGAGGGCAGTTAAGAGTCAATTGCATTGATGTGGCTCTGGAGTCACATGTAAGCCAGACCAGTTCAGGATGGCAGTTTCCTTCCCTAAAGGACTTTAGTGATCCAGATACATGTTTCCTGACAATGCAATTAGACAATTGATTCACAGTCATTATTAGACACTTAATTACAATTTTTTTTATTGAATTCAAATTCCACCATCTGCCATGGCAGGATTTGGACACAGGTCTCCAGAACATTATCTGGGTCTCTGTATTAACAGTAGTGATAATACCATTAGGCCATCAGCACCCCCCCCGACCCCCTCCAATTTATGGGAGCTTGCTATGCACAAAACGGTTGGTAAAGTTACATGACAGTGGATAGACTGAGTTTCAATCTACCAGCATTGAGTACTCTGGTGTACTATATATAGTTTTAATCTCCTGATTTCAAAAAGGACACAAATTCATTCGAGGCATTTCAGAGAAGGTGCAACTGACTGATACTTGGAGTGAAGGATTATCATTCAAGGGACAGTTGAATGGGTGTGGCCTCTTTCTGTTTGAGTTTACAGGAATGAAAGGCGACCTTATTGAAACATTAAAGATGCTGAAGGGTTGTGACAGGGTGGATGCTGCTTTGTTCAGTCAGATGAAATCGTGGCATTTATTGGCAGAACAAACTCGCCAAATCAGCAGTACCGGAGCACATTAGTCTCATCAGCAGCAATACACACATTGTTTAGCGGATGGTGTCTGTTCTGGCTCAACCGCATTCATCACATCATTGGAGGCTGGACAACTGAAGATATTCTGGACAGTGAACTGGCTGCAGGGTGTCATCCAAATTAGAAATTAAGATGGCGCATGTTGTCACTGACAACTGGAAGATAATGGCTGACAGCTATGACCTCTGGAGACTGATTTTTTGGAGGAGCATTAGAAGAGCTCAGCTGGCTGTAAAGAGAGCCCAGAGTAAACAGAAGCCACTGAATCGAGCACCTTCTCAGCTTGCTGTCTCCTCTGTAGCAAATGCAGAAGAGAGTGCTATGCCACAATGGGGGTCCTGAGCCAAATCAGGTGCTGCTCAACACAGAATTAACCACCATAGGGCAAGTCAGTATCTTACAAAAGAGAAGACTACCTTTGTGGATCCCCCACACATTCCAGTCCCAACTGGCTCAGGGAAAACGTCTTTACTGTTTACGGCAGCTTGCTGTACACAAAATGGTTGATGAACTTACATGACCATGGACACACTTCATTGAATTTAAAGCAAGATATAATTGAACCGGAGAGGGGTCAGAAAAGATCCAACAGGATGTTGCCTGGAATGAAGGGTTTGAAATATAAGGAGAGCGGGGACTTTTTTCACTGGAGCGGAGGAGGTTGACGGGTGACGTTATAGAGATTTATAAAATCACGAGGGGCATAGATAAGGTGAATGACAAGGGTCTTTTCCCTAGGGTAGGGAAGTTCAGAAGTAGGGGCCATATTTTTAAGGTGAGAGGAGAAAGATTTAAAAGGGGCATGAGGGGCAACATTTTTACACAGAGAGTGGTTCATATGTGGAATGAACTGCCAGAAAAAGTGGTGAATATAGGTACAGTTACAATGGTTAAAAGACATTTGGATAAGTACATGAATAAGAAATGTTTGGAGGGATGTGGGCCAAGCGCAGGCAGGTGGGACTAGTTTAGTGTGGGAATATGTTTTGTGTGGACTGTTTGGACCAAAGGGTCTGTTTCCATGTTGTATGACTCTATGACCCTATAAAGCATGCTGAGGACAAAAAAGGTGCTTTAAAATTAAAGTTGTGTTGGGATGTCCGAGAATATAAAAGTTGCTAATTCAAGGCATTTCGATTGGGACATCCAGAGAACATCAAAGGGGATATAAAAGTGCAAGCCACTTTAGGACCTCCTAAGAATACAAAAATTAACATATTAATGCAAATCAGTTTGAGGCATCAAGAGGATGTGAAAGATAGGAATTAGGAGCAACAAAAGGTCACTTAGTGCTTCAGGTCTTCTCCACTGTTCAAGAAGATTACATGAAAATGCGAGTGACTTTGGGATGGCCTGAAAATGTAGTAAAATGATATAAAGTTGCATTTTTCTGAAGAAGGGTCCAGACCCAAAACGTCAATTTTCCTCCTCCTCTGATGTTGCCTGGCCTGCTGTGTTCCTCCAGCCTCCACACTTTGTTATCTATATACAGCTGCAAGTTATTTTGTGGAACCCTGAGGACATAAAAGTTGCTATATCAACATAAGTCAGTATTGGACAGCTTGAGGATACGAAAGATAATGTATAGATGCAAATCAAATTTAGGGAGTCATGAGGATGTAAATGTTGCTATACAAACTTAAGTTAGTTTGGTACATCCTGAAGACATGAGACATTATATAAAAATGCAACTCATTTGGTGGAAGAACTTAATGATGTAGACATTGATCATATTAAGTCCATGTCACTTTGGAGTTCCCTCAGGATCTGGAAAACATTGAAACTCTTCCGGGTAGCAGCAAGGATGGGAAAGGCGATATAAGAATACAGACCCATCCTTTACCCACCCTCTCCTTGACGGGGCAGTGACGTCAGCGACGCGATCGCCCATTGGCCGACTCCTGACCAATAGGAGCTGAGTTGCTAGCACGCTGCGTTTATTTTTAGGACCGAGGGGGAGGCGGGGTCACGTCGCGGCGGTGCACCCCCTCTCCCTGACGTCGTACGTGCCATCCTTCCGCCCCACTTTTTTGAAGGCGGGGGGGGTGGGGAGGGTGACTGGGGAAAGTAGATCCCGGGCAGGGACGAAAGGCTGAAAGTAGTTCCGGAGGGTTGTCGAAGGGACTGTTAACGGTAGGTGAGCTGATATAAGTACGCCAGGGAGCAAGGGGCGAAAGTTTGGGCAGAGGCTGCTCGGGGCTGACAGGCGGCGGCGGCACCACCACCACCAGGACCCGGGTTCGAATCCCACAGCTGCAAGTAAGCCTTCCCCATCTTTTAAAAAAAATACCAAATCAATTAAAATATCTTTATTAACAATAAAAAAAACCTTGATTCAATCGAATTACGCCCCTTTTCACCCAACCCCGCCCCCCAAAAAATTAAATGCCCCGTTTATATGTTTTGGGGGATTGCGGTGGGAATTTTATCCCTCTTTTACCTTCTTGGGGGTTTCCACTTATTACCCCATTGTCAGTTTTACGGCAGCGTTGCTTAATTTTATTTCAATTTTATGTCGATCGGTCTTAAAGAAAGCAGGCCTTTTAAACTAGAAAATGATATCCGTTCGTGAAGGAGGGGTACTGAGGTTAAAATTTTAAAGTTGTTTTTATTTTGGTGATCTTAACCCCCCCCCCCCCCACACCTCGAATCATCTATTGGTGAGAGTACCCTTAAAAAAAACTACCTAAGCTAGTCTTGAGGTTTATTTGATGACCTTAAGTTTTATTTAAAAAAAGGTCGTGTTTTTTTTTAAAAATGTACATATGTGAGTTTTCTTCTAAATCCAATTGTTTTTGTCAGCGCGTTAGAGATTTAAAAATATTCGTGGTGGAACTCGACTTTTTTTTTCCTTTCAGACTTAAGAATTTCAAAATAGATATAGGACGATTGTTGACGTGTTCAGTCAGTAATTTCAGTGCCAAATCGGTTGTGTGTGGAAAAAAAATGGATTAAATTCTCTAAATGTCACGGGGGAGTCGTTGTTGTTTACCCCCTTCTCTCATTTAGAGGTGACTTTGGAGGTTACCCCAGCACTTAACAAATTTTAATCAAACGGTGTTGGATTTAGTTTAGCTTTAAGGGGATTTGGAAAGGTTAAAGTCCTTGGGTTGGACCTTTTTTTATTAAAGTTGGAGAGATTTTACTGAACGAAATGTTATTTTATCTTATTTAACTGATTGGGGAAAGTGTGTCTGAAAGGTTTTGAGGGGGTTTTTGTTTCTGTCTTACCCCCACCCGTCCCGTCCCGTCTCCTCCCCTCCCAGTAAGGTTTGGATTTTAATGGAATTTGGAAGGAGGGGGGATGGGGCTCAGGGACATTTAATGTTGAGCAATAGGGAGGAGGGAGCGCGACTGCGTCTGCGCTGCGGGCTACCTCTTCCACCGGACTCAGTGCGCATGCTTGTTGACGCCGACCACGCTCTGCATTTTGGGGCCTGTAGTTCTTGTCACGCCCTTTCCCACAGTACTGGCGGTGGGGCGGACTACAACTCCCATACTGCATCGCCAGCGAGTCCCCCCCCCTCCCCCCGCAAACCAACCCAACCCAACCCCGCACGACCTTGCAGTGTTGCCTCCAGCCTGTAGGGCTCCTTATTTGGCTGCTTTGAGCTTGGGTTATATGTCAAGAAAACAGACGGCCAGCACAGCTGGGTTGAGTGCAGTTATTTTTTTTCAGATGCAGTCACTTTTCCCTAATACTATTAGCCTTAATCTGCGACAGGGATTCTTTTAGGCTTGGTGCATTGCTGTACTGGTGCCTTTCCCTGCTCCTGTATAACTTAAAAAAAAATCGGCAGTTGTCACGTCAGGTCAGGATGTTCCAGAGCACATCTGCCGGGTGGACGGGTCATCCAGCTACAGATGGTAGTCTCATTGGGGATTTGAAACCTTTGTGTTTCAGGGAGCTGAATACTGCTCACATTGCCACCAACAAACACTTCTCTAGCTTCTTCCTCAACTCTACGTATTCCCTGTTGCCAGCAAGACTGGGGAACATATTTTAAGGTGAGGAGAGAGACTTTTTTTTTAAAAAAGGCTTATTTTTTACACAGGGTGGTTCATGTGTGGAATGAACTTCCTGATGATGTGGTGGATGCGGGTACAATTACACCATTTAAAAGACATTTGGATAGATATGAATAGGAAAGGTTTGGAGGGATGTGGGGCCAGGAGCAGGTAGGTGGGAACTAGTTTGGGATTATGTTCGGTATGGGCTGGTTAGACTGAAGGATCTGTTTCTGTGCTGTATGAATCTGTGGCTCTAAATATTGAGGAAGGTTTCTTTAGCATGTTTGATTGTTTTCATCCTAAAGGACCCCATTGAGTAGATGTTGAAATGGGTTGACTCATGATAGATTAAATTTAATGTGGAGAAATGAGACATTGAAATGAAAGTGGGAGACTTGTAAATTTTTAAAATTTAAAAGGAGTGCAGGATCGAAGGGGAGATGGTGGTGTAGTGATCACATCCCTGAACGACTAGTCCAGGTTAATGTGCTGGGAACAATGATTCAAATCCTGTTGTGGCTGTTGGATTTAAGTTTCATTAATAAATCCAGAATTGAAAGCTAGCAATGATGACAATGTAATTGTCATTCCATTAAACACCGGTGATTCACTGCTGTTCTTCAGGTATGGAGAGATGATCACTATCCCTTGTTTGGCCTGTGATACCACGCCCACAGCAATGTGATTTGACACTTAACTGCAATCTAGAATGGCCCAGCAAGCCACTCAATTCAAGGGCAATTAGGGATGGGTGAATAAGTGATGCCTCCATCTGAATAAAATATGGAAACCAAGAGATTTGAGAGTTCGTGAACTACAATCTTGGGGCATGTTAACAATGCTGTTCATTTCTTTACACAAAAACATTGTGGCATTGGCTTTATAAATAAAAGCAGGGAAGCAATGTTAATCTTTATGAATCTGAGACTAATGTTGATCAATTCTGGGCACCATATTTTAAGAAAGATTTAAAGGTCTGGTGAGGAGGACACATTTTAATTGATAAAATAAGTGAGAGATTTGTAAGGAAAAGGTTACAGGGCTATGGTGAAAGAATAGAAAATTGGATCTAACTAGCTTTTCCAAAGGGTTATTGAAGAAACATTGGACTGTAAGACTGTCTGCAAATGCTTCTAGAAATGCTGTAACCAATTGCTTAAATTCTTTCAGAATTTGCTTTGTACGACTCCATTTGGTAGTCTGACCTATGTTGATCAGTGTAGGTGAAGTATTTATTGGTGTGACACAGTGGACTTGCATGTTGTCCTTCATGCTGGCAATGAGTGATGCCCCCTCAGGTTGAAATTTGGTATGTTGTTTAATGCCCCAGCACTAACATGAAATCCCCCAAAAATTGGGACAACTGGAATTGGCTTCTGCTTTGCTTAGAGTTAAAAGGCAGGTACTACATATACTGAGAGTGGATGGAATGAAACAGTTAAAGCAACCGAATAGCCATGATATTGATATTGCTGAATAATGGAGCATGCTTGAGGGCCTGAAAGGGCTGTCTTCCAGTTTCCTTGACCTTTTTTTATCACATTTGGCCAATTTCTATAATGGCCATGCTTTGGTCTCTGGTTAGTGATTTGTGGAGCTATGTCTGCTAAGAGGTGGATGGAGGCAGTTCCAAGTGCTTTATTACTTTTGACCTTCAGGCGATTAGCCTTCCCCTTGACATCCCAATCAATCTAGACTGGTTTCATATCTTGAGCAGTGTGAAAAACCACTGCATTGTTATAGTTTTGTTTTTATATTGACTGATCAGTTAGGTTTGGAGCTCACCTATTTCCTTGTTTTGCAACTGTTTTCATTGCATTCGAAACAGGAATTCATGTTCTTTCCAGTCTTCCCTTCCTGTGTTGACTCTGGGCTGGATAACTTCCAATGGCAAGGCAGTGTGTGTGGCGGCAGCTCGTGACAGTGAAAAGCCTTTCAGCTGAAAATGATCCTGCACTTGTCTGTCCACATACCTGCTTTCCAGCAGGAACTTTCTTTCCCTTCCAGCCTGGCTTGTTGTGTAGCACCCTTCCCACCCCACAGCTGATCCCTATGATCACCAACAGAATGGTTGGAATGGCTGAGATCCAGTCAGGGCAGTGCTCTTACCCACTAGACCATGGGCAGAAGGCTGGCTATGCATTCTCCCTTTTCTGACCTAATGTCTCAGTTCTGCAGCATTTGCTTTGGAGATTTGTCTTAATTCTGAGGATGTGGCAACCTGCAGCCATTAATCCATATTGTCATGACTCTCAGCAAAGATGCTGTGAATTTTAAAAAATTTTATTAATGAAATTCCCTCTGCCTTGGTTTATTATACTGGAGGGACACAGTCCTGAAATGTAGGTTCATAAACCCCTTTACTCTCCTCTCTCAGCTGCATATTTGAAAATATGCATGTTTTCATTCAGCCCAGCTGCTCCATACTCGTGCTAATACTCCAAATGAACCTCTTTTCATTCCATCCACCAATCTCTCTTCCCCATCAGTGTAATCTTTTATTCCTTTCTCCCTGCATACATTTAGTTTTCCCTTTTACAGCTTTGGTGGTGTTCACCTCAACTACTGGGCATGTTAGTAAGTCCCACATTTTATATAGTTTTGTGATTAAAGAAGTATCTGATTTGTTTTTTGGATGTATTGGTGACTATTTGTATTTATTGTTCTTAGTTTTGCTCATGATCACAAATGGAAATCTCTCTACATCCATTGGTAAGTTTATTTGCCCTTGCCAATGTGGGTTGTCCTCTTGCCCATCCGTGATTACATCAATCAACAGCGTACGATTCCTTTAACCCTTAGGCCTGTGCTACAGAGAAGTGGTCTAGATGTCCCACCGGTTTTTTTCCTAGTCTTGTCCCTTTTCTAGGATATTTTTTAAGGGCCTGTGTGCTTTTCCTCATCAGCACATGAGCTGTCACACTGATTCTGTTGAATCATTACATTTGAGACTAATGCTATACAACTGACATCAGTACTTGTCTGTGAAGTATAGGCAAGATGAATTCTCCCTAACCTAAGCATACTTTAACAAGTTTCCTGTCACTGTGATGATGTGGGAGTGAAACTAGGGCCTTTCCTGGTCTCTGATCTAGCTGCTGATTGGATAGTTAATTAGTAATTGAGTGAAATTTAAAATAGGCAGGCGTTATCAATGTTTTGACTGGTTATCTTGTAGATGCTCATTTCAAAATGGAGGTAACTTTAGGTGGATTTGTCGTGCAGGCAGAACACCAAGCAAAAGCTAGGTGGGGGACAGTGTTCGTATTAGGAACCTTGCAGTGTACATTTTTCACAGCAATGTAATTGTGTAATTAAAACAATTATTGTCAAACCAGTAAAATAACATGGGTGCTCACACTAAGCATTGTCTCTTTCTGTGCAGCCACTATTGTATGTACTGAAAACTTGGTCAAACTTCACTTGTACTCCTACATATTACAGCTTTTTATATTTGTGCTGTTGCTCATACAAAAAAAATGTGGTGCTAAAAGGAGCAAAAATGGTGAAATTTGTGCTGAGACTGTATGGGAGGAACAAATCAACTTAAAGTGAATGTCAAAGATGGCTAGGGAAATATTTTTGATACAGCAAGGCTGAAATATGCAAAGGGCATTTAAGATTGAACTGGAGGAATGAAGCTAACTCTTAAGCTGTGGGTTTGAGAGGAGACAGTAGAAGCCATTCATGGTCAGAGTGAAGGTTGAGCTGGTAAGTCTGTCATGTAGCATGGAAACAGACCCTTTAGTCCAACTGGACCGCACCAACCATGTTCCCAAACTAAATTAGTCCCACCTAACTGCAATTGACCCCTGTCTCCACCAACCCACCCCACCCCCCAAACCTTTCTGATTCATGCACTTATCCAAGTGCCTTTTAAATATTGTAACTGTACCTGCATCCACCACTACTACTGGCAGTTCATTCCACTCACTTTCCACCGTTATTTTAAAAAAAGTTTGCCCCTCATCTTTTTTAAATCTTTCTCTTCTCACCTTTTAAAAATATGCCCCTAGTTTTGAATTCCCTCACCTTGGGGGGAAAAGACCTTTGCTATTCACCTTATCAATGCTGCTCATGATTTTATGAACAGCTAAGGTCACCCCCAACCTCTTAGTCCAGTGAAAAAAGTTCCAGCCTTTCTAATAACTCAAAACCTCTATTCCTGGCAACATCCTGGTAAATCTTTTCTGAACCCTCTCCTGCTTATTATCCTTCCTGTAACAGGATGACCAGAAGAGGCCGCACCAATGTTCCGTACAACCTCAACATGACTTTCCAACTCCTATACTCAAATGGTCTGAGAATGAAGGCAAGTGTGCTGAAGACATTCTTAACCACCACCTCTACCTGTGGTGCAAATTTCAAAGAACCATATACCTAAACCCCTCGGTCTCTGTTCTACTACACTACCCAGGGCCCTAACGTTAATTGTATAAGTCCTGCCCTTGTTTGTTTTACCAAAATGCAATGCCTCCCACTTATCCAAAATAAACTCCATCTGCCACTCCTTAGCCCATTAACACACTTGATCAAGATTCTTTTGTAATCTTGGGTAACTGCCTTCACTGTTCACTATACCACCAATTTTGGTGCCATGTACAAACCTACTAGGCTGCTATATTCTCATCCAAATCCTTTATATAAATGAAAAACAAAGGTGGACCCCATACTGACCCTTTTGGAACACTGCTAGTCACAGGCATCCAGCCTGAAAAATGACCCTCTAACACAACCCTCTCTCTCCCACTGTATAAAGCCAACTTTGTATCCGATTTGGCAAGCCCTCCCTAAATCCCATGTGATCTAACCTTACTGATTAGTGTACCATGCAGAACCTAATCAAAGTCTTTACTAGTCCAAGTAAACATCTACCATTTTGTCCTCCATCTTTTTGACTATTCCTTAAACTCAATTAAGTTTGTGAGATGTGATTTCCCTCTCTCATAACCATGCTGACTGTCCCTAATCAGTCCTTGCTTCTCCAAATGGCATGT